TCTTTTTTATTGTCTTTCGTCTTCTCATTTCGTTTTGTGTTGTCTCCTTACCGTAAAATCACAGTCTTTTATTGAATTTGTTTGTCCTAAACTTTTTGTTTCCCTAAAATTTACCTCACCTTAAGTAAAATCCTAAAATTTTCGCATAAACATAGATTCTAAAGCCAAAATAATTTCCCTTAAATTTGCACCTCTTACTTAAAACTCACATGTCTATCCCTTCAGGCTTAAACCAATAGTCTTTACTTAAAACACAATGCCTTCCTTTGAAATATAATTGCCTTGCCTAAAATCGCAATAGATCCCTTTAAATCTAATTCCCCTTTTGTAATGCGATAGAATAAATTACTTTAAATCCAATTATTTTATGAAAAATATTATGTTCTTTCCACTTATATTTCCATACTGAAGAACTATTGTGAACCTCCAAATGAACCCCTCAGTCTGTTTACATAATATTGAACTCCTATTCCCCGTTTATGAACCACCGGATGAACCTGTATGTTTGTCTATGAACCTTCCGAACCCCTTTGACAGTCTTTGAACCCCAAGATGAACCCCTGTGTCTGTTTGCGAACCATTGTGAACCCCTGTATCTGTCTGTGAACCATTGTGAACCCCTGTGTCTGTCTGCGAACCATTGTGAACCCCTGTATCTGTCTGCGAACCATTGTGAACCCCTGTATCTGCCTGCGAACCATTGTGAACCCCTGTATCTGTTTGCGAACCATTGTGAACCCTGTGTCTGTCTGTGAACCCTTGTGAACCAACATCATTCTTGACTGACTTTTTAGGAATGTTGAATTCGTGGGTGTGTGTGTGGGTGATTTTTTCGCCAGAATTTACGACCTGTAAACTACCCACCAAGTCGTTTACGGCCCATTTTCGGGTGTAACAAGAGGTCATAATTTTTATGGAGCATTTTCCACTTAATTCTTTATATTTTCTTTCTTTTTTCCTTTTTTTCTTGAATGAAGAACAAAGTCAAATATTAATGAAAGGGGTTATCTCGATTCTGTCTGTCTGTCTATCTGTCTGTCTGTCTGTCTGTCTGTCTGTCTCTACTCATCCCACAGTCTAAGATCTTTTGTTACAACACGAAGACTGGAGACGAATTGGAAACATCAAAATTACACTGAGAAATCTAATCTTGACACGTTCTCTTATCTCTTAGTTACGAGTTAAAAACTGTAGTAGGGATGATGTGGTGAGGAGATGTTGGTTGTAGTGGTGATAGTAGTGGTGATAGTGGTGGTCGTGGTAGTGGTGGTGATAGTGGTGGTAGTGGTAGTGGTTATGGTGTTGATAGTGGTGGTGTGGTGGTAGTGGTTATGGTGTTGATAGTGGTGGTGGTGGTGGTGGTGGTGGTGGTGGTGGTGGTGGTGGTGGTGGTTATGGTAGATAGGTGGTGGTGGTAGTGGTTATGGTGGTGATAGTGATGGTGGTGGTGGTAATAGTGATGGTTGTAATGACAGATGTGGTGATTATTTGGTGATTGTGATGATGGTCGTGGTGTTAATAATGCTGAAAATGATAAAAGTGATGATGGTAGTAGTTATAATAGTGATGATAGTAGTGGTGATAATAGTGATGATAGAAGTAGTAGTTGTAATAGTGGTGATGATAGTGGTGACCAGATGTTGTAACTCAGCTGGAGTATAACACTGATGACAAGGATTTATGTCCCCTATACAACCCGTAAATATTTTATGCCTCATTCACCCTGTGCAACAAGTCGTTGGTGGTGAAGATAGTAGTGGTCTACAGTAGGTGGTGAGTGTGGTGGTGGTGCAGGTAGTGAGTGTGGTGATGGTGCAGGCAGGAGTGGTTGTAGCAGGCAGAGTGTGGTGGTGGTGCAGGTGGTGAGTGTGTGGGTGATGGTGCAGGTGGTGAGTGTGTGGTTGTGTAGGTGGTGGAGTGTGGCTGGTGGTGCAGGTGGTGAGTGTATCTGTGGTGCAGGTGGTGAGTGTGTGTGGCGCAGGTGGTGCAGGTGGTGAGTGTGGCTGGGGTGCAGGTGGTGGAGTGTGGTGGTGGCGGTGGTGCAGGTGAGTGTGGTTGTGGTGCAGGTGGTGGTGTGTGGTGGTGGCGGTGGTGCAGGTGGTGGTGGTGCAGGTGCAGGCGGTGGAGTGGTTGTGGTGCAGGTGGTGAGTGTGGGTGGTGGCGGTGGTGCAGGTGGTGGTGGCAGGTGTTGCAGATGGTGAGTGGTTGTGGTGCAGGTGGTGAGTGTGGTGGGTGGTGGCTGTGGTGGTGGTGAGTGTGGTGATGGCGGTGGTGCAGGTGGTGAGTGGTAGGTATGGTGCAGGTAGAGTGTGGTATGGTGGTGCAGGTAGAGGTGGTGAGGTGGTGGTGGTGGTGGTGGCTGTGGTGCAGGTAGGAGTGTGGTGATGGCGGTGGTGCAGGTGTTATGTGGTGGTGGCGGTAGCAGGTGGGTAGGGGTGTGGTGGAGCAGGCAGGTGGTGAGTGTGGTGATGGTGGTGCAGTGTAGAGGTGGTGGTGGCGGTGGTGGTGGGTGAGGGTGAGTGTGGTGGTGGTGGTGGTGGTGGCTGTGGGTAGGTGGTGAGTGTGGTGGTGCGGTGGTGCAGGTGTTATGTGTGGTGGCGGTAGCAGGTGGTGGTGATGGCGGTGGTGCAGGTGGTGAGTGGTGGCGGTGGTGCAGGTGGTGGGTGAGGTGGTGAGTGTGGTGGTGGTGGTGGTGGCTGTGGTGCAGGTGGTGAGTGTGGTGGTGGCGGTGGTGCAGGTGTTGAGTGTGGTGGTGGCGGTGGTGCAGGTGGTGGTATTTGTGATGAAAGTGATGGTAGTGGTCATGGTTATGATGGTGATGGTGTAAATGTTGGTGATAAATATTAAACCTCTCAATGGTGTGAAAGAGACATGCTTTATTCTTCCACTAACTTTTGCTTCCTTAGTTACATCTCTACCGTGTCTCATGTCTGTTAAGAGACCTCTCTTTTGTTTACATTCGAGCTGTTGCCGTCTTGGTGGTCTCCCATATTATAACCTCGACCTCGTAGGTGTCTTGTGAAGAATCGTGTTTTCACTTGCTGTGTGTTGTGTCAATTAAGGATATTTCCACCTCCGTCTGGTCTTCTCTCCTCCACTAACTCAGTTTGCATTCTAGATGAGAAGAACGCTTCTTTCCATTTTTCTGTCTTCAGATAGTTTAGCGTATTTCTATCTCAATTTTTATTTTCATCTTTATTTCCTCCTTTTCTCGCATCGTTGATCATTCTTTGGGTAAAAAAAATACGTTTCCATTTCTCTCTTTCTCTCTCATCTGGTTTTGATGATACTAATTAATCTTTCAATGTGTAAGCTATCAAGGATGCGATTTGATTATGAATGTGGCTGATTGCATTTCTGGGAGCAGCTGATTAAATTTATTCTCTTTTAGATTAGTTTATATTCACACGTAAATTAAGACCTGCCTCTCTGTTCGTAGATGAGTGAACCAATACCACACTGTCGTACCGTGCTCCGAGGTACCTGAAAATGACTTAGTTTCCTTGTATCGACTAATTTACCTGTACTGAATAATCTAATTTGTGAGTGATGTGAGTTTTTTAAATTTTTGGCTTAAGAATTCGTCTTCGTTGACTTATATAATTCATTAGAACAAAACATTATGTCAGATTAGATGGCATATTATACTATTGCATCCTAGTATAAATCATCTTACCTGTGCTGATTTTTCTGAATAAATGAGTTATTTTATTTTCCGAATATTTACGATTCTAGGTGAAGATTTGCCTTTGTGTGTAAAGGTAAATAAGAAATAACAAAGAATATCTCTCAACTTGGAACACCATATTACTTTTCACTGCTCCTTTGTAGAAATAATATCACCTGTCCTTGTACACCTGAATTAATTAATATTTTTTTTCGAATGTTTTGGTTAAGGTTCATTCATGATTTAATCAATAAGACAATACTAAATAGCCTTTATCACACCTTAGACCACAATATTACTTCAGTATTACCCTATAGAAATCATTTTACCTGTCCTAATGTACCTAAACACCTTGAACTCGTGAAGTGTGGAGATGAATATTGCACCATTTTCTCTCCCTGTGTTCTGTAATTCGTCTCTTCCTTCCTTTCTTTTCACAGACTACATCTATTTCTCCTTTTGTTTTGTCTCTTGTGTGTAATTCAATTATATTTTCCACCCTTCAATGACCTTTATTTCTTCTTCTTTGTTCCTTCATATGTCATGCGTTGTTATTAAAGCTATTGTTTCCTCTCACTCATTTGCTCTTCTGTTTCGACCTTTTATGCCTTTTTTCAGTACTTTTATTTGTTTTTCGTTTGTTCCGTGTGTGTCTTGTTGTAGCTTATCTATGTCTTATTCTTCTTGTTTTTCATCTTTCCATGTCTCTTACTTCTGTCTTTTACACCTGTTCCATATATGGGTATTATTTTATTTCCCATTTTGTGTGTTTTAGCTGTTCCATCTAATGTTAAGTCTTCTATTCCATCATCAGGTCATTTTCATCCATTCCATTTTTCAATACCTTTCTTCTCTCCCATCATCTTTTGTCTCTCCCATCATCCTTTATAATTGTTATCATGCTCTTCCATCATCCATCACACCCTCCATCTATGCTTTGGAAAATGAAACCCAAAGTAAAACAACATTGTACATTTATTTTTCCATATATTTATATAATCATTTATGTATTACAAACCGGTTAGGTGAGCAAATTTTGTTGATAATATAATATATAACTATATATATATATATATATATATATATATATATATATATATATATAAATATATATATATATAATAATATATATATATATATATAACTATATATATATATATATATATATAGTATATATTATATATATATATATATATATATATATATATATATATATATATATATATATATATATATATATATATATATATATATATATATATATATATATATATATATATATATATATATATATATATATATATATATATATATATATATATATATATTCTGCAATACAAAATAAAAATGATATATAAATTTGTGCATAATTCATATTTTGTAAGCGTATTAGCCCATCAAGTACAAAACTCTGATAAAAATTTTCTTCGCTGGGAGCAAGATAAGGTTTCCTGGAATTAAAAAGATAAGAGGCAGAAGAAAAAAAGTATATAGCTGCTGGTACCATAAAAATACGTAGAAAGAAGTGAAAGATTTTAACGCCGAACATTTATTGAGAATTAATTTTATAAAGTTTTCAAATATACAACTTTTTATACAGAGTCCACCACAATCATTCCTCTCGTATTTCTCTCTCTGTCTAGGGATGAGTCACAATATTTATCCCCCGCCTCCGAATTATGTAAACAACTGTGGTCTTAGTGTTTAATCCAGTGCTTAAGAGGAATAAAATCGGAGTAAATAGAAATAAAGATATTTTTAAGTAAGTGTTGAAATTATTAGAGAAAGTGTGAGGATAATTAGAAACGCATTGAAAACCGATAGGAGTTTTTTCAGATAAGAAAATGCTCCAAAAATGAAAAGAACTTATAGGTAAACGCCCAGAACGAAATACTGTATAAAGGCAAAGAACTTACTTTATATGTAAGAACTCGTTACAAACGCAACTACAATCGTTTTGGACACAGAAAGATCACTTTTAGCGTGAGAAAATCACCACAAGTGCAAAAAAAAAATACAAAATCACTGTAAACGCAAGGAACTCGTTGTAAACTCACTGAACTCACTCTGAACGCAAAGAACTCACTGTAAACGCAAGGAACATACCTGTAATCGCATGAAAAATGACTATTACCAAAAACTCATTGTATCCAGAAAGTTATCACTGTAAACGCAAAAGAACCCACTGACTCAAGAGGAACTCACTGAAAAGCCAAGATAATGCAGTGAAAAACGCTCCGAACTCAACTTAGACTCAGAGCGCCGCGGCCACTGATTCACGCTGACGGGAGAACTCAAAGCCTCTCGGGAAGTCTATAATTTTGAAGAATAATCTCATTAGAAAGACAAGAATGAGGGAGAGCGTCTGCGTAGAGCACAAAAGACTCAAAGGAGGCTTGATGAAAGAGGAAAAGGACGCAGAGGAAGACGAAGATGATGAGGAGGAAGAGGAGGAGGACGCAGAAGATGGTGGAAGGGCGGTGCTGGCTTGTAGGTGTGGCTGCATTGCCGCAGGAGATTCTTCTGTAAAATAAGAAGAAAATGCTTAGTTATACCTCAAATATTTCGATAAGAAAAAATGCGATTATTCTTGTTTACATTAATGGTAATTTACTCCAGTGAAAAGGATTATTCACACACACACACACACACACACACACACACACACACACACACACACACTTACCGTCCACCACGTGTACGGACACAGAGTCAGGGATGGCATGCTCAGGGGCGCATGTGTAGTTGCCAGCGTCCCTCCAAGTGGCGTTGGTGACCAGGAGCCAGCTGGTGCCCGCCCGACGGTCTGTCACCAGCTGAATCCCCCCGCGACCACCTGAGTTGAGCTCCTCCAACACGCTGCTGCTACTACCTGTGGGAGGAAGGTCAGAGGTCATCATTTATACTGACCTCCTCCAACACGATGAGCGAGTAAGGTCAATATGTCAACACCTATATTGACCTCAAATAACCTGCTGCCACTACCAATTCTGTTGCTGTTTTAACTGGAGGATGAAAAGCCAAAGGTCAACGTTACTGCCACTGTCTGGAAAGTAAAGGTCAAAGCCGTCAGTGCTCCTCATACTTGTGGGAAGATGGTTAATGATTTCCAGCTGAGTTGACCTTATCCAGTGTACTTAGACTTTTTAGGGGTACAAAAGTCACCGACTAGATTGATCCTCCAACACGTTATTAATATTACCCGAGGCATGAAGGTCAAAGGTTAATATAGGTTGATTGTCTGTACTTGTCCTCTCTCTTCATATCTCCCTCCTCTCTCCCTCCTTATCTTACTCCGCTCTCCCTCCTTATCTTACTCTGCTCTCCTTCTCTCTCTCTCTCTCTCTCTCTCTCTCTCTCTCCTTCAATTCTCTGTCTCCTTCCCTCCTTCCTTCCCTGTCTACATCTCTATCCCTTTCTTTTATTTTCTCCGTTGCCTTCCCTCCCTCCCTATCCTTTCCCTGACACTTGTATGAAGTAACGTCAGTAACAATAGGATTATAATCTCTCTCTCTCCCCATCAATCCACCCGTCTACGTCTATCTATCTATCTATTTATCTATCTATCTATCTATCTATCTATCTATCTATCTATCTATTTGGCGGAGACTCACGTGAGGTAGGGTTGAAGTGAAACCAGGTGACGGGAGCAGCTTGGGCGGCGGCTCCTTTAATAACACAGGTGATGTTCAGGTTACTGCCAGCCTTCATGTACATCGCGCTGGCCCCTATGATGGTCGCCTGTGGTACTGTAAAGGAGGAGGGGAGATATGGTTAGATGTTCTGTCTGTCTGTCTGTCTGTCTGTCTGTCTCTCTCTTAGATATCTTGGGGTAAGATCGAGACCTAACAAGCGAAAGATGATGAGATAGATAGATAGATAGATAGATAGTACTACTCACCCACAACTTCCAAGTTAAACCTCTTGAAGATCTTAGGTTGGGCGGACACCTGACACTCGTACACGCCGGAGTCACTGACGGAGGGATCTCTTATACTCAACACCCAGTACGGCGACGTCTTGACATGGATGGCACGGAAGCGAGAGTCTGTCGTGTAGGTGAACGAATCTGTTGTCAAGACGTGGAGGTCCTGACGACGAATCCACGACACCTAGACGATAAACGAAAGCATTGTGTTAGTTCCTGAGTGATGACTGAAAGTATGTACGTGTTTCTTTTGAACGTAAATAAGGACATCTTTCAATAGGTTATAAGGACAGAGTTGAACACCTAAACAACGATAGGATATACTTCAGGGAATATTTATCGTAAATGCAAACACTCGCAGGTAAAGTAGATTGTCATGATAAGGCAGTTCCTAGTCAGCAAAACATTAAACCATAGTGCAAAAGATAGATTTAGAGACCAAATTCTACATGTATTGATATGATTCACTCACAAGCAAAACGCAAAATCAACATAAAAAAGACTCGTTCACCATAGCAAGCAAGCAAGCACAAACACAACTAAAAACTTTAACTCTAAAACAAAAATCACAAACATGTCGAAATACAGTGAAAAAATAACAAGCTAAAACACTCAAAAACATTACAACAACGAAATAAAATCCCTCGCAAGCAATAACAATAGTAAGACCCACCTCAAAACACACAGTCTACAAGCACAATTACCAGCAAGCAAAATTGTTCACCGATAGCAGAGTAAAATACACACATTCCAGGGCCCAGATTTTCAAAGGTTCGTTCGATGTATTTTTCTCGTAAGTGGAAAAGAGAAAATTCTGTTAAAAGTCTCACTTAAATATACTTAAATATACTTAAGATATCTTTGTGAATCACGCTAGGTTATGTTAGGTTTGGTTAGTTTTGGGTTAAGTTTGGTTAGGTTAGGTTAGGTTTAGTTAGGTTAGGTTAGATCAGATTAGGTTAGCATAATTTGAGTAAGGTTAGTTTAGGTTAGGTTTTGTTTTGTTAAGTTAGTTTAGTTTAGGATAGATTAAGTTAGGTTAGCTTAGGTTAAAATGATATATATTTGCTCAATTTCGTTCCCTGATATAATATTGTATAGTAGAGATTTTAGAATTATCTTATTTATAACAAATTCTTAAAGTAAAGGAGGCTTGAGTAAAGTAAATTACACTACCTGGAGAACCTTTAATTTGACAGGTAAACATGGACTACATTACTGGTATGTTAAAAGTTATCATGTTCTCAAACTGGTGGTAAGTGAACGTCTCTATTTAAAGTAGAATCTCAGTGTAACTTTCCTGTCATAGTGAACGTTACAGTGTAGCGTCTTAGTGTAACTTTGCTGCCATAGTGAACGTTACAGTGTAGAGTCTCAGTGTAACTTTCCTGTCATCGTGAACGTTACAGTGTAAAGTCCCAGTGTAACTTTCCTATCATAGTGAACGTTACAGTGTAGAGACTCAGTGTAACTTTGCTGTCATAATGAACGTTACAGTGTAGAATCTCAGTGTAACTTTCCTGTCATAGTGAACGTTACAGTGTAGAGTCTCAGTGGTATCAGTATGTAAACGTGTCTTGTTAAGGTAAAGTCTCTTGTCAAATTTTATTGCCATTTTGAATGCTATGCCGCCCTAACTGGTGCTAATAATTATAAAGAGAGAGAGTTAAGGTGGTGTTTGGAATTTGTTTTTGTTGTTGTGTACCTTGAGTCAGCCAGTTAGGTGTATTCTTTTTTTCTCTAGTTATGAGAAATATACAATATGCGAACCTTTGAGCCTCTCTGTACAGGGCGTCACAAAAGTTTTAACAGAAGGGAAAACAGAGTAACCAATAGAATTTTTTCTTGTGTTTTTCATTGTCTTGTTGGCAACGTTGGTGGTATGTTGTAACGTGGATGTATGCTGGTAAGGTGAGTGGTGTGTTGGTAACGTGAGTGGTGTGCTGGTAACGTGAGTGGTGTGTTGGTAACGTGATTGGTGTGTTGATAACGTGAGTGGTGTGTTGGTAACGTGGGTGTGTGTTGGTAACGTGGGTGGTGGTGTGTTGATAACGTGGATGGTGTGTGGTAACGTGGATACTGTATTGGTAACATGGGTGGTATGTTGGTAACGTGGATGATGTGTTGGTAAAATGGGTGGTCGTGTGATGGTAACGTGGGTTATGGTGTGTTGGTAACGTGGGTGGTCGTGTGATGGTAACGCGGGTGGTGGTGTGTTGGTAACGTGGGTGGTGGTGTGTTGGTAACGTGGGTGATGATGTATTGGAAACGTGGGTGGTGATGTATTGGTAACGTGGGTGATGGTGTGATGGCAACGTGGGCGATGTGTTGTTGAATTTGAATTCCAGTATGCAAATCAGATTGTATTCTACATTGTATTACACCATTAGAAATATATATGAGATTGTTTACCGGGTGATTACCATTGCTCTTCCCGATGTTAAACTTTATTGTAAAAAAAAAAAGCTACAGTGAAAAGCTAGATGCGTTATGAAGCTCAAAAGGTTTTATTTTCTATCTATACAAGTTCAATATAAATTCCTTTTGCAGTTCAGTAAACATCAAAGCGCTATATTGTGACCCTTCTATATTTTCTAACAGTCTCACGTATTCTTCCTTTTCTTCAAATTTCCCAAAGTTGCTGACATTGGTGGAATAAAAACTCCATTTCCCACAGAACCAGAGAGGATTTTTTTTTTCATAGTGAATATTTAAAATCAGATTGATTCTTTATAATCGCCCGGTACTTGGTATATTATAGAATAAATTATGTTATAGAGATTAATTATAGATTATCGTTCATGACTCCCACAAAAGTACGGTACTTAAAACTGTTGAACCACAGAAAATATTTAGAGGTGCAATTATCAACGGCTGATTAGAGGGTAATTTATAAATGAAACCTCATTAGCTTAAATTACTAGGTCTATTGACAAATTGAGAGTATACTTCACTAGTCCTATTGAAACTCAGGTACATTAATCAAACAGGAGTGAAGGTTTAATGTAAATGGTTGTTACAATAGCTGGGATAAATTCATACTTTGAAAAGATTATTAAAAAAAAAAGAACAATTATTTTACCTGTCTGTCACCGAGCATTCTGACGCCACAGGTGAGGTTAGCGGCGGCGCCCACGGCTGTAGTGACCTCTGTGGCTGTGGGCAGGAAGTATGGGCAGCCTCGGCAGTGGGCGGGCCCCGGAGAGGGTGTGGGCGGTGGATGGGCTACACCTGTGGGGTGGAAGATTCATTAATTAGTGGACAGTTTGAGTGTGTGTGTGTGTGTATTTTCTACGTTCCGGTAACTACATATCGGTGTCTTTATGTATTTTTTAGAAGTGCATTAGAGCGAAATGAATATATGAATTTAAATGAATTTATACTCAAGCACGTATTGTATATGTATGTGTGCATGAGTGCGTGTTAGCCTGTGTGAGTGTGTGTATGCCAAGAGCTTGTTCACAGTAATTTACAAAAAAATCGTGAAAAAGTCGAGGGATTTCTTCTAAAGGGAAAAACACTAAACACCATTTTTACTGACGGAAAGTTTCACCTCTTAAATTCTTGCCTCAGTTTGTTCTTATTTTTAACTATTCTCACTGTTGTTGAATAGCAGAAATATAATGTCATCGTCACTAATAGAGAATATTATTTAATTTAAGATAGACTGTGTGTGTGTGTGTGTGTGTGTGTGTGTGTGTGTGTGTAATAATAATAATAATAATAATAATAATAATAATAATAATAATAACGGTTTATTGAAAAAGTTCGGCAGCCCGAAGGCTGAAAATATACATTGGACATAAATGGGTTATTACATACATTGGTGGTTAACAAAAGCTTTCATTAGAGAAAGGTAAAGGAACATACAGTGAAGGGCAAGTAGATCTTGTGCGCTGAGGTGTTGAACAGCAAACACGTACTGTAGTAACTCCCTCACAGATGGTGCTATGAGGGACCTGACGTGGTGTAGTAATTCCTTCACAGATGGTGTTATGAGGGGCATCACGTGGTGTAGTAATTCCCTCACAGATGGTGTTATGAGGGGCTTGACGTGGTGTAGTAATTCCCTCACAGGTGATGTTATGAGGGGCATCACGTGCTGTAGTAATTCCCTCACAGATGGTGTTATGAGGGGCTTGACGTGGTGTAGTAATTCCCTCACAGATGGTGTTATGAGGAACCTCACATGATGCTGTAGCAACTCATTCACTACGTGGTGTCGTAGCATCATGGAACACCACGTGGTCTGGTGTCACAGGACCTCACTCTCTCAAGTGAGTGAGGTGTGGTCCCAGGCCTCCCTATCGTGGACCGATTAACACATAGCTGGTGTTGTTGAGTCTCAGGGGCAGTTATCATTGGGTACCTGGGACCTCACTGTGTGAAGGCTAGCTTGGGTATGACTCAGCTGTTACTGTTGAGTTGTTTTTCACTGACTTAAGCACTGTTCACCACTATTCAACACTGATTCCATTCCATTCTTAAATGAAATAGTAACTTCTGGCGAGAACTTGTGTGTGAACAGCAGACACATAAGAACATAAGAAAATAAGGCGTCTGCAATAGGCCGGTTGGCCTGTGCATGGCAGCTCCTGTCGAGAGTTACTACCACTCTCTATTATCCATGAATCTATCTAGCCTCCTTTTGAAAATTTCCAGAGTTCCCGCACTTACTACAAAGTTGCTAAGCTTGTTCCACTCGTCCACCACCCTATTTGTGAACCAGTTTCTTCCTATCTCCCTCCTAAACCTAAACTTATCCAACTTGAATCCGTTGCTCCGAGTCCTATCCTGCTCGGATATTATAAGAACTTTATCCACATCCCCTTTATTGATTCCTTTCACCCACTTAAATACTTCTATCATATCTCCCCGCACTCTTCGTCTTTCTAGGGAATGCAAGTTAAGTTTCTTTAACCTATCCTGATATGGAAGGTTTCTAAGTCCCGGAATCATTTTTGTCATTCTTCGCTGCACCGACTCTAGTGAATTTATATCCATTCTATAATAGGGGCACCAGAACTGAACCGCATAATCGAGGTGCGGCCTGACTAGCGCAAGATATAGTTGCAATAAGACCTCTGCACTCTTGTTACTTACACTTCTAGATATAAAACCCAATACTCTGTTTGCCTTATTTCGAACATTAACGCACTGTTTTCTAGGCCGTAGGTCCGGGCTTACAAGTACCCCTAGGTCTCTTTCACAAGTCGACTTCTCTAGGTTGATGTTGTTAAGGCTGTATACATTATAAGTATTTGTTCTTCCAATATTAAGTACGCTGCACTTGCTGGTGTTGAATTTCATTTGCCATTTTTCAGACCACCCCTGCAGTTTATTTAGATCCTCCTGTAATGCATTTGCATCCTGCCCTGAATTAATTTGCCGCCCTATTTTGGTGTCATCCGCAAACTTGCTTATGTCACTGCTGATCCCAGTATCTAGATCGTTTATGTAGATTATGAACAAGAGTGGGCCTAGTACTGACCCCTGGGGAACCCCACTGGTTACATGGCCCCACTCAGATTTAACACCATCTACGCTGACCCTCTGCGTTCTATCGGTGAGCCATGATTTTATCCAATTTAAAACTTTCCCCTCGATACCATGAGCCTTAATTTTTCTCAGAAGCCTCTGATGCGGTACTCTGTCAAATGCTTTGCTAAAGTCTAAGTAAATAACATCGTAATTTTCGTCATTATCTACTACCTCGAAGACTTTCCTAAAAAACGTAGCAGATTTGTTAGACAAGATTTTCCCTTTGTAAACCCATGTTGAGAGTCGTAGATTAATTTGCTTTTCTCTAGATGCGATCGGATGCTATCTGCTATAATTGATTCAAGAAATTTCCCCACTACTGACGTCAAACTGATCGGCCGGTAATTTGACGCTGATGCTCTGTCTCCCTTTTTGAATATGGGTACTACATTCGCCTGTTTCCACAACTCTGGCACAACTCCAGTGTCTAATGATTTTGTAAATAAGTTTACAAGGGGTCCGCTAATCTGTTCCCTACACTCTTTTAAGACTCGAGGAAAAATTTCATCCGGCCCTGGGGATTTTGTGTTCTTTAGTTTATTTATCTTCTTAAGAACATCCTCTTTTCTGATAGTGATATTCTTTAATTTCTCTTCTTCCTTTCCCTTAAATATCAGTTCCACCTCCGGAATTTCATCGCAAATTTCTTCTGTGAAAACTGATAAGAAGTAGCTGTTCAATGCTTTGCTTATTTCTTCACTGCCATTTATCAATTCTCCCCTCCCTGACTTTAAAGGCCCAACTTTGTCCTTGACCTTTGTCCTATATACCTGGAAAAATTCCTTGGGATTCGCCTTGGATTCTCTTGCTATTTTGATTTCATAGTCTCTCTTTGCTTTCCTTACATTTTTCTTAACATTCCTAGATAGTTCATTATACCTGTTTCTGAACTGCTCCTCCCCTCCCTTTAATTTCTTATATATTCCTTTCTTTATTCCTATGTCATGTTTAAGTTTTCTGGTCATCCACCTTGGCTCATTCTTATTTGACCTAATTTTTCTGTGTGGTATATTTTGTTCTTGTGCTTTATGTAGTATATGAGTGAATATATTATAGTCATGATCAATTGTTGTGTCATCTATGACCTCACCCCTTCCTACTGGGAACTGACGTGACTGTTCCCAGGTGACCTCACCTAGGTACCTTCTTAACCCCTGATAATCCGCCAACCGAAAGTTTGGCGTTATGAGGGGCATCACGTGGAGTGTGTGTGTGTGTGTGTGTGTGTGTGTGTGTGTGTGTGTGTGTGTGTGTGTGTAATCAAAGTGTAATCATAGGTAATGTGTCAAAAAAACTTACATCGTCACATAGACCAGATTTGCAACACTGCACACTACACACATTTAATGAGATGGAAACGTTGCAAGTTTTTGTGCTAGTTATTGTGTTGTTTATTTGTATTGTGCAGATTTAGGGACGTCATGATCGTAATGTTACTAATGTTTGCTAATTTATAACCATCATAAAAAAATTGTCACTCATGATATATTCCTTTCTGTTTAGTTTTGTTTTCGCAGTTTCTCGTAATTTAGTCGTTATACGAATATTCTGAGTCGTTTAATGTTCCTTGGCGGTTATCGATGGTTGATGTGAGAAATTGTGATAATGGTGTGTAGTAGTCGATAAATACACACACACACACATACACACACACACACACACACACACACGCACACACACACGGATAATTTGTATATTTTTTATTGCTATAACACAATGGAAATTAATTCGTACGTGGTAAACGTTAATGTTTTATTTAAGGCTTCATTTACTATTATAAAAAACCGAAATTATACTTAAAGTGAATTAGATAAGGTAATATTAGGTTATGTCAGCTTAAAGCAGATTTGATGAGGTTTGGTTTTGTGTGAAACTCTTCATTTATTTATTTTTTTATCTACTTGGTCGTTTATGACCAGTCAAAAGTTTCATAAGGCGATAAATATATAGAAGTTATTGGCAATTATTCCTATTTAGTGTAACATATACTGTATACATACAGAAGAGACAAACAGACAGACAGACAGATAGACAGACAGGCAGACACTGAAAGAAAAATATAGGAATATAATTAGGGAATGATATATAAAAATATATTTATATAAATGAAGGCATAGGTAAATAGGTTAATTAACAAGTCAATATACAATAAAAAAATCAGTTTTACCAAATGGCATAATTCATGATCCTTTCGTTCCAAAATGGCAACAGTTTGCATTTTTCATTGAACGTGAATTAAAAATTTGTAATTAATTTAAAAATGAATTACCTACATCACTGATTAAACAGCTTTACAATTTTCATTCATAGTCATGGTAATTGGTGAGTGAATTTGTATGAGATTTTCAGAAAACTTCATTGTAAAACGTATTTATTTTAGTTGCAATAGTATGATGATTTATAGAGTTTTTATGTACAGTATGTAACTATACATATCGTATATCAATTGTGTAAGTGCGTGTGTGTGTGTGTGTGTGTGTGTGTGTGTGTGTGTGTGTGTGTCGGTTTAATTTTCTATATTCGCGTAGTCTCATTTAATATTTACATCACAAAAACATTCAACCTCCCGATACAGCTCTTGTCCTATGTGGAAAAAAAAACTTCCTTATATCATTTCCTATTTAATGGAAAAGCGGTGGAAACACATGTCACTCTTCCTGGCCTCACGAAAAACGTAGTTTAGTTTGTTA